TTCTAACCACTCTTCCCCCAGGCTGTAACTCTGCATGGGCCGAAGTGTAGGACCCGGCACTTGGTGTTGTTGAACCTCATGCCATTGGTCTCAGCCCATCGATCCAGCCTGTCCAGGTCCCTCTGCAGAGCCTTCCTACCCTCCAGCAGATCAACACTCCCACCTAACTTGATGTGATCTCCAAATTTACTGAGGGTGCCCTCAATCCCCTCATCCAGATCATCTATAAAGAGGTTAAACAACACCATCCCCAGAACTGAGCCCTGGGGAACACCACTAGTGGCCGGCCACCAACTGGATTTAGCTCCATTAATGTGACAGCAGCATGACAAGGTGGTATTCAAGGGGCTCACACTTGGTTGCTGCGCCAGCAGAGACTAGCATGATCAGGAGGGAGGTGGAGGGCTGTAAGTGAGAGCAGAGCAGGGAATGTGGGCTTCAGGGATTTGTGAAGGAATCCCTGTGAACCTCTGAGGAGAGGACAGCCGTGGTTGTGCACGTGGTGCTGGGAGGAGGGCACCTGGACTTAGGAAGAAGCTGGTCTGTGGGGCAATGCAAGGGGCTGGGAAGGGGTGGCTGTTGGGGAGCTGCAGAGCCGCACCCATGGATAGGAAGAGATGACGCAGAAGGAGGAAGGGGTGCTAGTGTTTGGGGGAAGTGGGATCTCATCTTTGTCTTTGTGGCTTGATTTGGTGATGAAGTTTAAAGCAGAGGTGGCCCAGGAGGCTGCATGGCAGGTTAATTTCTTTCATAAGGACTACAGCTGACAAAGCAGGCGTGGGTGGTTTCTTTCTTCACACTCTTCGTATCTGTGGGCATCCAGGTAGGGGCCACAGTCATTATGATCTGTGGGGAGAGCAGCCTGGCCCTGCTGCAGACTTACACTTGCTCACACTGATTCTGCAGAAAGGTTTTGCTTAAGCTGCTCCATATCTCTGCAGCCGAGTGGCTGACTGAGCTCTCTGAGCTAATTAAAAGCATTTATTGGCAGCTGCTGTGCAAGACTTCCAGTCACAGAAGTGCCCTTGACAAGCACCAGCACTCAATAAACGTGTGGCAGGCTCACAGGGAAGGATTTCCTGCAGCAGGGAGGCACGCAGGAGCCCTGAGCCTGGCTGCGTGTGCTGCAGCTGCCTTCATCCCCCCATGGCCAGGCCGGGCAGGATTTCTGCACTGCTGCTTCTCTTCATCCGAACCAGATGGCACAACATCTCAGCTGTAATAATCACACTGGTTCACTTAGCTGCAGCCTCTCTTGTTGTAGGGCTCACTCATCTTTCTAATGACTTTCTGTTGTGCTGAGTAATTGCACAATCACATCTCTGAGAGCAAGTGTGCCGGCCTTCTGGAGAAACCAAACAAATCTGTATTTGCCTTTCCTATGCCTTTTCTACATGGAGAATAGTCTTCCTTTCCCAGCTCACCCTAAGAGGGGAGCTGAAGATGCTGCAGTAATGCTAAGCAGCTCTGTCTAAACCTCCCTGTGCTAGGCTGACTTCTCTTCAGTACATTATATGCTTTGAATCCCAGAGTAGAACTGCTGATCCCAAGTTATATTTTCATTTGCAAACTTCCTTAGGGGTTAGATTAGGCCTTACACTTTCTATCGTGGATCCACCAGCTCAGTGCATTGCCTTTGACCTCTTGAATACCTGGATCCATGTTGTACTAAGCCATGGTTAAAATCAGTTCAGTGCTCTCCCAGTCCAGTCTCAAGCAAACCAACCTGTGTCCCAGAAGTGCTGGTTGTCACTGGTGTGGAAGAGCAGGGACAGATCTGCTGTGTGGTGTAGAACTCGGAGGACCAGCAGGGTGAATTGCTGGGTACAGCACTTGACCAAGCCAAGCTCTAGGACCTTCTAACAGCATCTCTGTGCCTTTGCCAGTAGCCTTTTCCCTCTTCACCCTCTGTTTTTAAGCAACTTTAGTTTTATTGTCAGAAGGGGAAGTGTGGAGCTTGTCGTGTGTGTCTGTGTGAGTCTCCTGGACATGCTTCCTGCCTCCCGTAGCAGGGTACCAGCCATTTCTTTGGCTAAAAATATTTGATTCACATCGCTTGTGGAAGGAGAGGCTACCACCAGCTGCAAGCTGTGGGTCCTGTCTATGTGTGGGACCGCATATACCTAAGACAGCTCATCTCTGACCTATCTCTTAAAATGGTATTTTTCTTTTTTTTTCTTTTCTTGGTTTTAAACTTCTGACATCTAGTAAATGGTAACTTCTAGGCTATTTTGGTGAAACCCCATGTCAGCTTTGATTGATTACTTCAGCATTCTGGCCTGCCTACAAGAAATCGTTAGTTTTGTTGCTCAGCAATAGCAATGACTGTTCCTTCCTCTCTATTTGATTCACTTTTTGCACACAAAGATTAAGTCAGGTTGAAGGATGAGAATCTCGGAGAACAAAGTACCTTTCAAAAAAAAAAAAAAAGGGAGAGATATAAAGGAACTTTAGCCTTTGAAACAGAGTATTAGGAGGAGTTTTCAGAGCTTTACGAAGAGTTTCAAAAGCATCTGCTGTACTTTTTCCTCAATAAATACTCTCAACATCCTGGAGGGCTCTAATCTAGAGCTGAACGCAGCCAGCACTGCAACATGACACAGGTGCTCTTCATGGGTATATTGCTTTAGGTTATAAAAACTCAGTCCAGGCCTATTACAAGGTTATTCTGCAGCCTTTATCCAGAGTCCACTCCAGAAGGTGTGGGATGCCAGCTCAGGCACTTCTCTTTCTTCTGAGGTGGAAATGTAGGAACCACACCTCTGTGGAAGGCTGCAGAGGAGCAGAGCAGAGTGGGCCATCGTGGGGCAGTGAGGAGCAGAGTCCCCAGAGGGAGTAGCTCAGAACTGAGCTCTTTGTCTCATTTTCAGTACAGAGTGTCTGAGCAGCTGATGGTTGTGATGGGCTGTGCGGCAGCAGTGCCCAGGTTAGGTCTCACCACAGTGAGTTGACGTTTCTCTTCTGCAAAAACACCTCAGCTGTCCAGGGCAGGGAGCTGCCAGAGCTGGGGCAAGAAGATGAAATAATGAAGTTTCTCATGACGTGACTTTTCTTGGGAAGGCTTCATGGGGTTCATTAAAACATTTTGGGTTGATTTCAGCTTTGTTTGTATGTTTACAGCTGTTTTTCATTCTTATGTGTTTACTTTGAAATAAGGGGTGAATCATTTAAAAATGCTGTAAGACAGTTGGCCACATGTAGCAGTAGCAGGTGTGTTACAAAAATAGATAGGGTTTATTTTTGACCAATTCTGATATTCACCTGGTTTTACCATGCAGTGAAGTCATGTTAACACCATTTTAATGTCTTTGTGAGTGGAAAGTAGTTTTGGATGAGAAGATAAATGAAAACATGAACTCCCCAGTGTGTGGGACCAGTTCAGAAGTTTCCCAGGGGGAGTGTGTCCATCTTCACTCTGAAATGGCTGCTGTGTCCATGCGGTCGTTCCCTCCAGGTCTGCTTTGTTCCTGAGGTAGACACAGCACAGCAAAACACTCTGCTACTGTCAGTAGACAGTGGTCTTTAGCATTTAGTGGGGTTATTCATCCAGGTCATGAGGCCAGAAAAGCCAGTCCACGATCTCACTAACACTCCCATGTAGCAGCCCCTTTTTGCCAGCTCTGTGTTTACCAGGTGGCATGTTATGACAGTGTTTTATTTTGGTTGTTTTTTTTTTCAGATGAGAATGAATGTGAGCAGAACAACGGAGGCTGCAGCGAATTTTGTGTTAACCTGAAGAACTCCTACCGCTGTGAGTGTGGGATCGGGCGCACGCTGGGAAGTGATGGGAAAACCTGTGAAGGTAAGGTTTCAGCTGTCAGAGTCTCCTGGAAATGATATAAATCATTCCCCTTCCCTTGCAGCACTAGTTCTCTCTTGCCTCCTTGCAGCTGGGATTAAATGTCACTCATATCACTTCTGTGCTTGCCAGTGGGGTTGTTACTTGAAATACCCTTCCAATCAAGCAGGGAGGAGTCTCCTTGTTGTTCTCCCTGCCTTGTTCATTTCTGTGACAAAATTGCTTGTATTTATCTCCATGGGGGGAGAGGCAGCAGTGGATCTGGAAGATTGGTTGTCCAGACAGAACTAGTTACTGCTGGAGATGCTGGGATTTGGCCCTAGAGATTTGTATGATAGTTGTGTGGGGCAGATATAGCATTACTGGTTTATGACAGCTGGCATTAGGTATGGAGTAATGACATAGCGTTAGGCTGGAGCATGAGGATCACTTAGCCTCCCAGGACAGCGATTGAAGAGAGGGGGTGCCAGTCTGTAAACAGAAGCTAGATTTGAGATTAGGGCTGCTTTGTTTTTCATAAGTGGTTAGTTGTGAGCTTTGTTGTGTGCAGCTGCTACAGTGACTTCCCAGTGGTGGCACAGCCAGGTTGAAAACCCATGATGAGTTTAGACTGGTAGCTTAGCAGGGGCTTAAAGACCAAATTGTAGGTTTGATCTGTTGTCACTACCAATGTACAAACATCTTTGAGCAGAAATATGAAAACCCAGCAAAAATTGACTTGTGCCTGATGTTTTCTGTGGTCGGCTGTGAAGAGCACTGTGCTCCCTCACAGGCAGTTGCTGCCGTGTTGTACGGCCACAGATACTGTGGGGCCTCAGATAGGAATAGTAGTGACAGATGTGCCTCGCTTTTGAGCTACCCGATTGCCAGAACTGAGTACATCTGCAGCCTGTATGTAGCCTTACTTTAGCTGCTGTGTGGCAGACATCCCTGGTCAAGGGAGAGAGGGATTGCCATTGTATTTTCAGGCTGGACTCCACCCTTCTTTGTGTTTCATTAACAGATGGCTCCAAGCTGCAGTTTTTGTCCCTGTTTTCCCCCTGTTTGATACCAAAGCACATTTCATCTCACTCCTGTGAAAATCTCCCCTCTCAGCTCTGTTAATAAAACATCACTCATCCGGACAATGACACTTCCCTGGGGAAAGCCGCTGTGCAGAGTGTTCCTTAAGTACTTGTTAAGTTGTGTGGGGCTGAAACTGGTCTGTGGGCTTCGTCCCTTCCACATCCAGCACTGAACTGGTGGGGTGTCACATAATCCGGCTGTGCTACACAGCAGTTTTTATTCCTGAGCACTGCACTCTTCTAACAGGGCTTGGAATAGTCTGTGCTTGGAAACTCATTTGTCTCTTCTGTTCCCAAAGTTGGGTTTTAGGGCCTTTGATATATCATTTAATTTCCCCTTCTGTAAGAAGGATAGTGCTTTTCACGAGTTTAACACTGTTGCTGGGGATTTTTACAATCTTGTTAGTGAGTTTTATTTCTGAAGATGTGCCCTCAGCTTTGTGAGCCATTAGAGTATGTGATTTACTTACAAGCCTTCTCACAGCTGTTGCTTAAAAGAACAAATGCAAGAGATTTAGCTTGATTACGTGAGCTGGTAAGGCTGAGGACGGTTAAGAGTATCTCAAAATTTCCATTATAATGCTTTACCCATTACTTTGGCTCACGTGGAGTGTTCAGGCTGTTGTTTTCCATGCAATGTGTAGGATTGAGTATGGGATTTCCATTTTTTTCTTTACATTTCAGTGAAAACCACACAGTCATTTCTGATGGCAGGCTTAGGGAGAAATAGTTTGTGTTTACGATTTGTTTATATTATATGTACTGTTGTTTTACTGAGAACATCAGGCAGTATTCGTCCCAAAGGGTTAAAAAAAATCAAGGCGTGAATGTTTTGGGGTTTTTTTGTATGTTTGTTTTTTAAATCATGATACAGTTATTTTCTTTATAATAGAAAGCCAACAACAACTGGAAATGGCCTCACTTGCCTTAGATTTTCAAGTCTTCAGAATGTATTTGGATGACCTTTTAGGCTCTTTTTCTGCAGTGGTAGTGGCTAGGATTATGTTTTACACAAGCTCAGGTCCTCAGAGAATTGCTTCACCTGAACGGAAAAGATTTAAGAACAGACATGACAAATCCTCCAATTAGCTGTGCTGCCCTCTCTCCTCTGCACTTTAGAATGGGGGAAAATTAGGAGGGGAATCGACCTTACACTGTGAACTTGTGTTGTTCTGTCCCTGTGATAATGCACCTCAGGGCAGCCAACCTCTAAGCCTAAAACTCACACACTCACAAAATTCCTGCTGAACAAACTCCTGCAAGCAAAGTTTCATCCTCAGGCTACAAAGGGAATGCAGGAATCCAATACACCCACCTCCATCACAGCTGGGAAACCCACAGGCAAAAGAGCACATCATCTTCTCTCTCGTGTTCCCTGATGGGAACAGGAGCTGGCTACCTGCGAGTCTGTCGTCTCCGAGAGGAGACCTCCCCTGCAAATCTCAGGGCTTTAATTCTGGTGATGATTAAGGGAGTGAGTATGGTTCCACATAGTAGAAGTTTTAAGAAGATTTTCCTGGCACCTTTTTGAAGTAAGAAACAACATAAAACTTTAGTTTAAGAGGATGTCTCAGAAGTTAGAAAGGGCCAAGCTGAAGATTGCCAGTTCAGCTTTCTTATGTGTGTGAGTTATAACATGTGATTTAATTTGGTAAATTTTTTCACAGAATTCCTTGTTAACTTCATGGTGAAATGACAAACGCAGGAAATTGAACAATTAAAAATAGATTTCCACCACATTTTCTTGGAAGCAAGCTCTCACCGTGCTGTTGCCTTCGAGCTCTGTGTTAGTCATACTGTTTGTTAGTCAGCCAGGAGTATATTGTTCGGGTCTGCATAGCTGCCACACAGCTGCCTGAGGAGCAGGGTGTGCCGATTTTCCTTTCTTTTGCAGAAATCGAAGGCTGTCACAATAACAACGGAGGCTGCAGCCATACCTGTATTGAAGTGGAAGACACATACCAATGTGAATGTCCAAGGGGACTTGTTCTGTCAGAAGACAACCACACTTGCCAAGGTAGGTCAACAAAATCTCCTTGACAGCCTCTGTCCCCTGGATGCCAAAAGTATGTCTGAGGGAACTTTTCTTCTTGGTTTTGTTGTGTTCTCTTAGTCTGTCTTTTCCAGTTTGGTTAATGGAGCTTTGTTGTTAATGACAGATCGTCCAAAACTGAGAGCCTGGAGACGTTGCTCTTTTTACCAGGCAGGAGAACAGAGACATAGGACCCAGCTGGGTGCATCTTGGATCACAGGCCATTTTGGCAGTGTTCACTTACAATTAAGATTGCTTAACATCTCCCATTATATTGTTCTTCTTCAACTGTGTATGCCTTTGACAAATTTATGCTATTAGAACTGAAATTTTCCATGCTTCAAACTGGGCTTTGAAAATTTCAGCTAAAGTGGTTCGGTCCCTTCCAAGAGTGGGATTAAAGAGAGAGGCCTTTTTTTTGCCCAAGTGTCTCGGTAGCCATTCCAGTAAGCATTCCTGTTACGCCTTGAAGCAGGGCACTCGTTCTGATACTATGTGTTTCTGCTGTCCCTTGGAAAAATGCCCAAGATGGCCTCTGATAGTTGACTGTTCTTTCTGCTGCGCAGAGGCAAGGGCAACGTTATCCTTGGAAGACCTTCCATCTGAACTTTACTCCGTTCCTGCAGGCAGGGATTCCTTCTTGCCAACTCACTTGCACCTATAGCATGCACATGGAATAAACATATTTCCAGTTTAGACTTGCAAGAACTGAGTGAGATTTCCTTTGCAAATACATCCAGGCTCCCAGGGGTCAATTTAGCTCTTCAGCAGGGAGCAGAGGATCAGGGAGAAGTTCCTGAGGGCATTGAGAGTTAAGCAGAGGATCTGTAGCTCCTCGTGCAATGACTTCTTACAATCCAGGACTTGCACCCAGGATTCTTCTGAGTCTCATAATCCCACAGCTTGATGAGTCCCTGAGGTGCTGAAAGCATCGAGCAGCCTGTGTGCCTGACAGAGATATCTACTGTGATCTGCTGCTGAAGGGACATTCAGTCAAAACTGCATGTTGACGAGAGCTACATGGGCCTGTGAAAGGCAGGCAGAGGTAATGCTCTCTGGTGGGTCTCATCTGACTTGCCTGACCGCTTCTCAGACCTGTCAGGCTCAGCACAAAGCTGGAGAAGGTACACTACTGCCCTGGCAGAGACAGACCCCATAGCTCTATGCTTGCCTTCTGCCTTGGTGGGCCCATGAAGAACCTGTGTGGTTGCTTTCAGACATTTCCATGGGAATTTGCGAATGGGCTGGACTCAGGCCATAACCAGGGCAGGATCTAAGATGCCTTAAAAGGGAGCCTGTCATGGACTAATTCACTTGGGCTTTAGATAGTACTAATGAGCTGGTGTTACCTGGTGTGCTCAGAATCTCCTGTAGTCTAATGTGTTACAAAGTGCCCAGACATCAGTTGAGAAACAGGTCCAGGCTTCATGGTGATCAACAGGGCAGGTATGCCTCAGAGAGGAAGTTGGAATGGTTCTACTTGATGTAACTTCTGCTTTTTAAGCTTTTTAGAAATGCAGGGCACTGTTTTGGGGGTGAACACTGCACACTTTGGATTCAGTAGTGCTTACTGCTCCAGCAGAGCCAGGTAGGGAGGAGGAGGTGGGAATTTCCAAGAGCTGTGATTGTATGTACTGATTGAAGGTCTGATTGATGGATACAAGCCAGAAAAGGGCAATGTTCTTCAATCCTGGCTCCCTGAGGCAATCCTAGCAGGGTTAGAAGGCCACGTATTTCCCAGCCAGTGTTTTTCCTTTTGAGGCTGCTAATGAGAGCAGCAGCACTGCCAAGCCGGGGTTCGGGATACGGCATCTCAAAGCGATGTTCTTTTGCGTTTCATGAATTTATGTCCTCATGCAGTGGTCTGCAGATATGACAGAATATACCTGGAACTGGATGACACAATTTTTTATGGCATCTAATCAGGTTTAGAGTGGTACAGTTAACAGTGCAGGGCAGGCACAGCTGCCTGAAGCAATTGGATCTGCAACCTGTCAGCCCTCCTCTGCACTGTCTCTACATTCAGAACAAACATTAATAATCTTCCACAGAAATCACAGTCTTGGCTACAATTTTCATACAAAGATACCAGCTAACGAAATACTTGGAATTTTGCGGACCATCCTAGTACCCCACCTCTTTCTGAAGTGTGGTGGTGAAATGCTTTTCTCCCCTCTCCCATGCCCCAAGCCTTGTGTGCAGCTAAGCCGGATATAATGGTGTAGTTTATTTGTGTTTGGAGCAGTGGTTCAGGGCTCCCCAGCACCAGACAGCCTCTTCTACTGAGCAGTCTGGGCAAAAAGGTTACCTCTTCTCCAAGCAGCTATGCTTTGAAAGGCCAAGGAAGGAGGCACAGATGGGACAAGGAACATGTGGTGCCAACACCAGCAGACAGCAAAATGAGCATTCGACTCGCCACCGAAGCTTCCTAACAAGGCTCAGGGTACTTGCAGGCACTGGGGCAAAGCAGAGTTTAAAGCGGTAACGGGAAGGCTTTCCCAGTACTTACAGATGCTCTGTGGTGTATGAGGGTGAAGAACCGAAATGTTTGACTGCAAAAACTGGGTGAGGCTCTTGGGAGCCTCACAGGCTGGGCTGAGCCCAGGGCAGGGATGCAAGAGATGGATGCTGACAGCAGGTCAGGAAAACACAGCTCTCTGAATGGATGCAAGAAGTCATGAATAAAAGTGGATTCCTTGGCACCCAGGATATCTCATTTCTGCTCAGCATCTCAGTCCTGGCAGTCGAGACCTCATTGCTTGCCCTGCAATAACATGTCTGCTTACGGTCACGGCTACCTCGCCAGCTCCTTTTCAGCTCCCCCTACGATGCTGTTGCTGGCAGTCTGTCTTGGGGGAACCAGGCTTGCTCCATGCTGAATTGCACCAACGCACACAGTCTCTCTGCTTGCAGCACCGCTGTTAAACTGAACCGGTACGCTGTTTTCAATATAGATTACTCTTCTGTGTACAGATATCTACAGTGCTTTGAATTACATTACCAGTTGCTTTGAGATGGTTGGTATAAAGGAGTTTGCCAGAGTGTTTTCCCAAATAGCAGTGAGTTGGCTTGAAGCAAAAGTGGATCTGCTCACAGGTTTCATTCACTTGTTTCTGTGCCCAGGTGGTGGAGTGCACAAAGGCAACTCCTGCAGTGCCAGAGCAGAGGTTAAATGGGTGTCTCCTCTTTCTTCCCCTTTATGCCAATCAAAGACATTTAGAAACAGAGAGAGCCTGAACCAAATTGGTCCTGAACTTTGGAGAATTGCAATTGGGATCCAAACTGTCCCGCCCTGAATTACACCTTTATAAAAGCAATACATTTACTTAATCATCAAGGAGTCACTAGAACAGCGAAGCTTTAAATCCAAATTGACCCAATCAGTTCTCCAAAGGATGTTCATCTCTGTCTGCATTGCACTCTGTTTTCAAAGTCCCTTTTGTCTCCTTGTGAGCTTTGGCATTTGACATGCTCGGTTATTCCCGCATGCCTTCTACTGCGGATGGAGGAAAAGTTAAGGTAATTCTTAGTTCTTTAACTTTCTATTCTAACCCAGCAATGTCATTATGAGAGCGTATTGCTTTGGGCACACTGCATACGTTTTAGCATATCACCTTGAAAAGATCAACTTGTAATTAAAAAAATACGCTCTGCAGGTAGACAATAGCTGTTACAAATACTTTAGCTGGGACAGGAGAATTTTTTTAAGGGGGATAAAAGATATGTTTTAGCAGTGTGTCTTGTATCCAAGATCCAGAATCCCAGATTATATAATTCATGATTGAAATTAAGGGAAAGCAGATCGTAGGAATGTCAAGGATTGGGACTGTAATTAATTTTTGGAAAAAGCTCGAGCAGCTGGTATATTTGCAAAAGGTTTTGTCATATAATTTTAAAGCATGATAAACAGAAATTCTGCTGAAGGGTTGTTTTTCTGGCTGAGAAGGCACCAGAATATATGCATCAGTATGCTTGTCCTGTATTTAACTGAATAGATACGTATACACCCAAGGAATATATATAGCAATTACCTTTTTATTGAAGCTTATTCCCTCTTCTTTCCTTTTTCATTTTATCCTATCTCTGCATTTTCTACCACTTCTTATGTAATGGAATTTTAATTAAAAAAAGTTCACAATGGAGATCTGTATTAAAATTCAAAGGTTGGAAGGAGGTGGAATGAGTGAGCTAATTGTGTGTGTTTGTCAGAGCTAGGTTTATTGCTTATAGGAATATTATTATGGCATTTTGGGGTGCTTCCATTTTAGCTTGGCATCTATATGGGATTACTGTGCCTCGTTTTGACATGTTCTGAGTTTGATGTAAAACCTGATTAAGGGTCTTAAAAAATGGCTTTGCCTGGGATGTTGTGAATTTGATATCCGTATCTGGGAAAGACTCTTCCCAAGACATAGCGGTGCCAGAGATATCAGTCAAACCTGTGCTGAGTATTAAGTATAACTGGAAATACTGCACAGCTAAGTTTCTGCTGCATGTGTAGCAGTCATCTTCATCATCTTTTCTGGCACCACTGTGCCAAGAGAACTTGGGCAGTGGTAGCTCAGGAGGTTTGTGTTGTGTAGGTAGGAATGTAGATAGGTAGATTGCTATGGTAAGATAGTAATCTTAAATGCAGCATATGAGCCCTCTTTTTTTGCCCAATAATAATTGGTATAGCCCTTCCCCAGCTCCCTGGTAGATTTGTAGAGCAGGCTGTTATTCTGGGGATTTTTCTTGTAGTTCCAGTGCTGTGCAAGTCCAGCTCTATCGAGGTGAACATCCCAAAGGACCTGGTTGGAGGCCTGGACCTTTCCCTCATCAACACTTCATGCAAAGGAGTATCCAATGGCACTCACGTCAACATCCATTTCTCCTTGAAGTCCTGCGGCACTGTTGTAGATGTATGTATACCAGTTGCTGTCCTGCCTCTTGGGATCTCTCGGATTTGGGGACTTGGCTGTGGCTTACTTGGGGACTAAAGTTGATTTAGCTGTACCATCAGAGCAGTTTCCTGTGTTACCGTGCAGCTGGCCTCAGACTAGACCCGGGGTGGCATCCCGAATTTGGGAGAGCTTGTCCCATCTCCTCTCCAGTGGTATACGTCTGTCAGCATGGGTACTGCTTTCTGCTCACCTAGAGCTTCACAGAGGCGGCTTCACCATCATTCCGGTGCGGAAAGTGCAAGTGGTGTCACTCATCATCCTCCTGTTGAGACAGAATCTGGTCCCCCAGTAACATTTCAAAGGTTATACTGGCAACTGGTCAGGAATCAGAGAGCTCATCTTAGCAGATGGGTATCAACTGGAAGTAAATTCCTCTGCTTCATGCAGGAGTACAGTGCATCGAAGTTGACAGCAAACTGATAGAGCCACTTAGTTCGTAGATAAGGATGAACATCATTCTGGTTGCAGCATATAAATTCATAAGCTGTACGTTCAGTGGCTAGTTTATGTCTGAGTTTCCTGAACAAGGTCAACTCAGCTGCTAGTCTGAACTTGGAGAGGTCTTTCTCAATGATCTCCCCTTTCTCTTAAACTCCTGTCTTTGCTGCAGGTAATAAACGATAAAATCATTGCCACCAATCTGGTGACTGGCTTGCCAAAGCAGACTCCAGGAAGCAACGGGGACATCATTGTCCGCACCAGCAAGCTGCTGATCCCAGTCACCTGTGAGTTCCCACGCCGGTACACCATCTCTGAGGGTTATGTGCCCAACCTCAAGAACTCTCCCTTGGAAATCATGAGCCGCAACCAGGGCATCTTTCCCTTCACTCTTGAGATCTTCAAAGACAAAGACTTTGATGAACCCTACAGGGGTGCTCTTCCCACCCTCAAGCTTCGGGACTCTCTGTACTTTGGGATTGAACCCTTGGTACATGTCAATGGACTAGAGACACTGGTAGAGAGCTGCTTTGCCACTCCCACCTCAAAAATCGACGAGATCCTGAAGTACTACCTGATTCAAGATGGGTGAGTTCACTGTTCCCTCTCTTGTTGGCTATTAGATGGGAATTGACAGTGGGGCTAAGTTGCATTGCCCGTGTGATGCAGGAAACGCTACTATTTCTCCACGGCAGCCTATCTGTTGTGTTCCTAGCAGTCACCAGCAGCCAGGCCTTCCAGCCATCAAGCTGAAACCACCATCCCATCAAACGTGATTGGGAGAAACAGTGGGAGGCACGTTACTCCAAGTGCAGCCTTTACAGGACGTATTTCCCTGTAACTAGCCTTGTGGATAATGGAGTTGGCTTCTGTAGAAAAGATACCCTTCCTGATATCCTCTCTCTGCCAACCTGCAGAGTGCCAAACCAATCGGCAGAACTCCCCGATGGCTGCATGCCACTGCCACGCAGCTGCCGCAGCAACTGGAGCAAGTTTCTTAATTTTCCCATAATGGCCTTATTATAGCATGAGCCAGAAAACTCTGGTCCTGGTTGGAGCTCCCCTTGCTTTGCTCTCTCTCCCTGACGCCTGTCAGTGCAGTAAGCTTTGCGTCCCTCAGTTTGGCTGTAATTTTCTGAGGCATTTGGGGGTAGCGATTTTTTCCAGGATATGCTAGTAAAAACCTCGGGCTGGATCTGTGGGTTTGCTGTCATGGGTTTTGTGTCAGAGGTTTGGGGAGCATTGCTGTGGGCTCTGCTGTGGCTCCTAAAGATGATCCCTGTTTTCAGAAACTTGTTTGGATGCTGATGTGACAGTACCACGGCACAATGGTACTGTGGAGTGTTTGCATCCAGCGGTGCCTAGCAGCTTAACCAGACAACGCTGTGGAAACATCACAGTTGGGAACCAGTCTGCTATCCTCTAGGGAGGAAAGTCCAGCCAAAGTAATATCTACAACATACCCAGTTGTCATAGCCCAACAGTCAAGGGACCGTGCTCATATTAAGTCCTGTATTCTGTCTGCCAAACCATCTAATGAGGACAACAATTGTTTCCTCAGCTGCCAGGCTCAATCATCCACCGTTACAGCTGGTGATGACAAGTCCTGTGTGATTGTCTTGTAGCAAAGGGATCCTGTGGGGTACAGTACACAAAAATACTGTTTTCATTTCCTTCTGATCAAGGTTTCGGCATTAGCTTGCTCTCCCTCCATCCTAGGCTGCAGTCCTTCTGTGCCTGACATTTCTGGGGTTTGTGAGCAGATTTGTAATGGAAGGATTGATTTATTGACTCCTTGGCTTGGCTCTTCCTGTGGACCCTTCACAGGGTCAAGGCTCCAAACATTCTTTCATTTCTCACAGTGAGTGAAAACGATGGGATTCAAAACAGTGGCCAAAACCTGAGCCGAATAGAGAAGGGCAAAGGCAGAAAATGTCATCTCTTGAATTCACCGCAGCACTAGTGGGAGGATTTACGGCACCAGCAGCCCCTTTGGTACTGTTGTCCTGCAGAGGGCATTAAAACTTCACGGAAGGGAAAAGTGGGCTGGAGGCTCCTCCAGCCTGCTCTGCTCCTCGGAGGTCACCGCAGGCCCCCATGTCCCCAGACATGCCAGCCCCCGTGGGCTGTGCTGGATTGAGATTGAGCCGCTGGTTTAGACCAAAGGCTAATGATGTGCTATCAAACTAACTGCAGTTCCTTGTCTCTGTGTGCTTGCAGCAATTAAAAAGTTAAATTAGCTGAATTCACTGCTGATTTGTCCCTGCTTCAAACAGTTCTGTAATAACCCAGTTTCCTTCCATCAACCTAGCCCCAAAAGCCCAAGGCAATAAAGATGAGTTTTTCAAATCAGTTTGATTATGTAGGGTCAGACCTGCAGGAGTTAACTGCAGCTTCCAGAGGGAAACACTGTTTAAATTTGAGGGGGTATACCTTAGACTGAGAGATGGGAAAATTCCCTCTCCTGCTTTCTTCCCTGGTAATTCCCCCCCGATCTCCAGTTGGCAAGAGGTGGGAGCTGCGTTCTGTGGGACTCCTCAACCTTCTACCTGTGCTGACGTGGTGACCATGCTGGAAATCGGGATTTTCCCACATCCCTCCCCGCTGTCTCTGTAATACCCTATACTGCTGCTAGCCCAGCGAACCAGCCCCGAAGCAGCTTTCCGGCTTCTGATCTTGTTCTTTCTCTTTCTCAAACCAAAAATAAATAAAAGGCATTGACTGACTGCACAGGGGGATAAACACTGAAGCTCTCTGGGGCATCCAGAGCGAGGTCATGTCACTCAGGGCAATCAGTTGTAATCTGATGTGGTCAGGAGCTGTGATTTACCTGAGTGTGATGTGGTTAAGGTAGTTCCATTGCGAGGGTCATCTTGTTACGCCTCAGACTGCCCCTTGTTTGCAGGCTCAGGTGGTTATTTTATTCTCCAAGCCCTCCTTTCTACCTTGCAACCTGCCAGTAAGAGAGTCAGAGCACAGCTCCCATGGCACAGCCGCTCTCTGCTCCCCTGACCTTACGCTCATTATGTACAGGAAAGGGTTCTTTTCCCCATATCCTGACTAGGATCAGCCATTTTCCTTCCATACCTGTGCTCACCTCTCCAAGGTGGGAAGCAGAGTCTGGAGGTTTCCTAGGAGAATGTGCTATGGCCCCACGCACAATGCAAAAGGGCTTGACCCCGTGGCTCGGGAGGTTTCTGAGCTCTTTTTGTCGTGCCGCATTGCATTTGTCAGAACCCTCCATAAGATGTACTTAGGGACGTGGCAGGGGCTCCATGTATCCCTGGTTCCTCCTTGTTGTTCTTCCATTTTCCCTCTCCCTAGCCACAAACTAGTAGGTTTCCTGACACCAGTGTGGAGAACCTTTGGAGAACCTGGGATTTAGGAGTTAGTTTCCGCCTGTGTCCAGGAATGCTCATAAATGAGCACCTGCCTGAGTTGACTTTATGGCCCCAAAGCTTGGCCAGTCACTTAGGAAAAGTCTTTAACTGTCATTCTTTACAATCAGATGCCTTCAGGAATGCTACTTTTAAAAGCAATTTTATCCTAAACCACTCAGTAACATCTAGTGTTTGGTCTCAAGGGGGAGGAATCTATGTCAATTTTTCTAGACAAACAATGTTAATTTATTAGTTCCCCTTGGATAGTTTTTTCTGTTTGCCTCCCAGGCAAGTTAACTAGACAAGCGCTGCAGATAGGGATATCCCTTCAGACCGTGACCTCCACTGGCTGAGAAAAGCTACAGAAATACATGGTGGTGAAAATAACGCTCAGATCAGTCCGATGCTTAGTGCTCCCCTGAACATCCGCTGCTCTAATGCACGCAGCAGAAGGGCAATTCTGGGAGGGATTGCGGTAGGCTGCCGCCCACGGACCCGAGTCAGCCGAAGAGCGTAGAGATTTCCAAACACACGCCCTAGTGAAAGCAGAGCTACATATAGATGTGGGGTTTGCTGCTGTTTGATAATTGAACGTGTCAAACGTCAGCGTTTCTGACAATGCCTTACATATTTCTAGTGTAGAAATGGAAGCTAAAGGTATCAAGTCACCATAGCTTTTTGTCTTGCTGTTTCTCTGTCAAACTCTCAATAGGCTGTAATAGTCTATAGATAGACTGCACTTAGAATGTAACTTTTATTAAAGTAGCTTATTTTCTTGCAGTTCTGTGACCTCTCGCGTGATCGTATAGTGCTAGTGATGTGGAAATTGAAATTACGGATTTTAGTGTAGTGAATTTGAGTTGTCCAACCAAATCCAGCAAGAAGAAAAATGTAAATGATGTGTAAAGCAAAGTAAATCTGGATTTTTGTGGTTTTCATCATCTGTGATATTTTAGTAATGTGGATACAGGATTCTTCATTTTAAGCATGATTTATGTGCATATATATATGTGTATACAGAAAGTACAGGATACTTTATATACTGTATAACAGTTCTGTTGATCACTGCAGACTGTTGCACAGGAAGGTGAAACGAGGACAAACTTGCCTGCAGCTCGCTGGCAGTCCCTCTGCCGAGGGGCCTGGACCGCATCCTGCCAGCTCTCTGCTGCTGAGCTGTTCTTTGTCTGGAGATGCTATTATCATCGCTGTTGTTTTTCCCCATCATTCCCGAATTTTCTCCTGTGGCCAGAGAGGAAGTAACATGGATGGTAGCTTAGCTTGAGAGCGCCAAGCCCTCCTTTCCTTTCTCTGGTTAAATAGGCTGGGATGGTTTTTTTTCTCTTTCTTTTTCCATTTCTGGGAAACGCATTTAAAGCCTATCCCTCTGCTTTCCTCAGCTGCGTTTCTGACGATTCGGTGAAGCAGTACACGTCAAAGGACCATCTTGCCAAGCATTTCCAGGTTCCTGTGTTCAAGTTTGTGGGCAAAGACAACAAGGTAAGCTCAAAACGCACCTCTTGGATATTGCATCAGCTCCCATCTGACTGAGGAGTCTCAGCACAGAGTTGGCTCTATTGGAGTGCAAGGGGGAGGAATGGCTGGCCCAAGGCAGATGCTGCTGTGCCTGTTCCAGCAGTTGTGTCTTTCAGCAGCCTGACACAGGTGCTTTAGGAGAGAGTGATAAAAACAACTAAAATTAAATAAAATATAAAGGGCAGTTGTGGAACATCAATGCCATAGGCTAAAATCATTGTTGCTTCCAGGGCAGTCTTAGTGGACCCTCGTATGGTGGGCGAGAAAAGTATTCCCAGTCACCAGGCACATTACGCAGTGTCCTGTCTTTAAAAAAAAACAGTCTATAGTTTTGAATCTCTTCAACCTTATGTCTTCTCTAGCTCTTGTGAGTACAGATGCCAGGTTTCCAGATACAAGGCCGTCATACTGTTTAATTCCATATGAAACCAGGCCATCCAAGCTGGTGGCACTCTGGGGCAGAAGCTTTGAACTGGGAGGACAGTTGAAGGATAATGCCATTTTCCTAATGCAACTAGCCTTCCTTTTCTATGCTAGAAGAAATGAGGTCTTTCAGTCACTGTTATGCTCAGCCAATGCTGCTTGCTCCAAAAGGCATAAAACTGCCACTGCAGTTCCTGGAGAGTCTCAATAGGGTTAAAATGGATGAGATCTTTCAAAATTCAGAAATTTCGCTTGGCCGTCTGATTACCACTGCTACCTCCAACCTGCATCCTACCAGCCTGTGCAATGGATTTTGCTTCAAACTTCACCATTGACCAAACATTCACAAGTATTTGCTTCCCTACTGCTGCTTGCGGGGATCTTGCTTATTCTCCTTGTCATTTAGAGGGCAGGGAGCAGCAATCCTGTCACTGTTTACCTTTACTGTGCAGAAAGAAAAGGCAGCTGTCTCCCTGCCCTTGGTCTTCTCCTTCTCCCCTCAACTACCAGTCTTAGCCCCTCATCAACCTGCGTTTTCCTCCTCTGCCCCTTGGTCTCCTAGCTTGATGTTTTCTCGGCTCACGTCAAATTCTCTTGCACGTTTCTATCAGTCCATCTCCTTGTTGAGGCTTCATGCGTTCTTGGCCTGCTTCCTACCGTGCAGCTCCTACCAGTCCACGCGAGCTCCTCCAAGCTTATTCCTGGCATTTTCATCCCTTTCTCTGGAGCATCATTTCACGCCTTCATATTCCCTCTCGCCCTTGGCTAACAGACAGACGCCAAGCTCTGAGATCTCAGCCAGGCACTCTGGAAAACGTGCCCTCTCCTGGCACATAAGAAAACAGATGGAGCAGCCTGTTTGGCTGTGGATGGCGATGGTGGACATGGACCTTGTGGATGCGGGGACAGAAATGGCTGTGCTGTGGGAATGGTGTCGCTCGTGCTCAGTGAGAGCTGGCAGCACTGCCAGGCTGATTCCCAGAGCTGCGCGTTGACTTGGCCTGCTGTCTCATCACCTTCCAGGAGGTATTCTTGCATTGCCGCATCCTCGTCTGTGGGGCGCTGGACGAGAGCTCTCGCTGCGCCCAGGGCTGCCGGAGACGGGTGCGCAGGTCGGCTGAGACAGAGGAAGAAGAGGAGGAGGAATCTGATCACGTAGCAAACCACATCCTGACAGGCGGCCCCATCAGAATCAACTTTGATGACTAACACCCACCCACTGGAACAGCATCTCCACTTGAGACTGACCTTCCTTATCAGTGCCTTCTTTCATGGTTGTTTGAGAAACAGGAGATAGTTGGTAAAACCCCACTTGAACCTCAGGACTTGTTTCCCTAACCGCATGATGATTATTTGTGAAGTATGTTGGGCACACGAGGCAGCCCTCCGAGTGCAACCCGGACTGCAGAACAGTTTGGTTTTACCTGTGTTTCTTCCCAACAACCCTTCGGTTGAAGGGTCCCTATTGCCTTGCAGGCCTGAAGCGTTGCCCAACTTTGTCTTTCCCTGTATCTGCCTGCCAGCTCCGCAGGACTGTTGGTCCTGGACTAAACAAATGTTATCCTAGCCCTTCTTTCATCAGACAATACAAATAGGATTGTAGCTGAACAGGTTTGCTATCCAGTTCTGTGAATGATGCTGAAGCTTTCAGGTGTGCTGAGATTTCAGATGACCGTTAATAAAAATGTGTATAAAAATATTGTATCTCATAATGCATAAGTTCCTTGGAGCTATAAAACAGTTGTCATTACAGGCAGCTAAAGCTCAGATCTATCACAGGCACATTTAAATGTTATTTTTAAATAGTAAAAGGTATTTAATAAAACTTTTTGTGTGTGTCTTTTGATAATTGCATGCAGTTTAACAATGTTTCCTCTTATGTTTACTGTATCATTGTTTTTCTCCCTCTTCTGCCCCCACCAAAAATGTGGTGCCTTTCATAAGTCCTATAGCACCTTGATTGTAAGAAAAAGATCATTAAACATCTATAAACACTCCCCCGCCCAAGCGTGCTGCTACCAAGTCTTTGTTTGAAAGCTGTAATGCATTACCCTGATCTAGAGAGGCTGTGGCTCCGACAAAGGGATTAGAGGAGCATACATGAAGTATTTATAGCAATCATTTGTAATGTGGGTAGTTGTCGGGACAGGGTTGTCCCCAGTGGGGCTGGTGACAGGAGACACGGCGGTGTTGTTTGAGTGACTGTGTGCATTTGCAGTCTCCTGGCGGATGAGAGCTGGCTAGGGACACAATTACTGGTGACGGTGGCGGCATTGTGATTGTCAGGAATCCCTTTGGGCTGTCAAGCTCCTTCCAAAGAAAATATAACCGATGATCAGCTTGGGTTCCTCTGGGCTTTGTTCAGGAGCAGGAGCGCTGTGTGGTGAAGGATTAGAAACGTGGGGTGAAAGGAAGGAGGCACAGCTAGCAGTGAAGGACAAAGTAGGTGAGGCAGGGCTTGGAGGGTGAGAGAGGAAGGATCCATCTCCACCGTTGGCTGTGGCACGGCAGCGTGTTCATGAGGCTTTCTGCAAGAAGCTTCACAGTGTGCAGCTCTGTGTGTTTGGAGGTGTGCTGGAAGTCCCCCTTCTTTTTCAGTTGGAAGCGGCCAAATTGCTGCCAAGGCCAAAATTTGTTGCTGCTCTCAAATGGATGGGGAGTCCGTTTGAAGGGACCATTTAGAAGGGAGTCACAAATCACCTCAGCAATATTTTGTTTCATGGATTTATTTCTTCTAGTGAGTGAGAGTCCAGTGAAGAATGGGCATTTGATGGGCTGGGACTTTCATGATTTTTCTAAATGGCTTCAAGGCTGCTTTTCCAATTTGGGAATATGTCTGTGCACGTGTCTGCGTTAGAATAAATGAAAATGTTTCCATGATGATAAGTAGGTGTAAGTGGAAAGACACTTTTCATGTGTTATCTAACCCTATGTGAAAGAAAAAGAAATTAAAAAGCCTCCTTCCTGCATTGCTGTGCCTCTCCTGGTTCTGCTGATTCACGGCTGCATTAGGACCACACGGGCAATTCCCCGCTATCACTTCTTTGTTCAGGCAGCCCCTGCTAAATATGCTTGTGTTGATAAAACAAGAGCTGGGAAATGAAATTAATTAGCTGGTGCCTTCTGGAGAGGCAACTGGTGGGTTTTGTTCGTGTGAAAGGGATGTGGGGGAGCGGTGGAGGAAGAGGTTCGTTTCCCGGCTTATTTCAGTTACTGTGCACATTATTCGGTTCTTCCTGACAAATTCATACGAAGCAGCCTTTCTGCTCTGCAGCTTTTTAGTTAAATAATCTGGAAGAGTAATGGGGAGGAAACACTAGTCTGTGTGGCCATGAGAATGGAGCGGTCTGGGAAGGTGTTTAGTTTGCCCCTGCAAGCAGGATAGTAGGTCTACGATCTGCCACTGCCTTGTGGCCATCCCTCCTCTGACATGGAGGGCATGGCTCCTAGACACAAACAAAACCATTTTTCAAAGTCTTTTAGCTCTCTCCAGTTTGCTTCTTGTTTCCATCCATCATCTTTGTCAGCATTACACCCTGGACATGAAATCAAAGGCCAAACTCATCTGAGAGCCAAGGGATTCGTCTGTTTAATTTAATTTGCCACACCACAGCTTGGAAGCAAAACGCACTGCACAAGAGGGCACTGCGTGTGCAAGAAGGCAGCCTACCCGACCGGTGCTCCCGAAGGCCCGGCCAGCACTGCCAACTATAGTTCAAAGTCCGAGCTGCCTCCATGTTCCCCAACGTGTGCGGTTGGTGTTCTGGCTGGTGCCGCCTCATTCTCTCTTAGGATTTAAAGCGAATGTTTGAACATTGGATATCTGGGAGTAAACACCTGTTACCTGTTGTCCTCATCCCTGCTTTCATGTCCTCAGGAGAAACTTAGAGATTGCTGTTGGGGGGACCATTACTAGGAGAGGGCACGCTGACCAAATGACTTGGATGCCAGCAAGACTCGCCAATGCACAAAGTCGACAGGAAGCCATCGGATGAGCACAGTGTCGTCTTCCTCTTCAGGGCAGGGTGGAAGTGAAGACGACCCAAGGTTTGTGTATTGACCTGGGGAGTCCCACGATCCGCTCCTTCAGTGGCTGTACACCACTGGGTAGAAGGAGTGACACGCAGGGGAAGCGATTTTTAGTTTGGCTGCAGAAGTTTTACTGTAGTTTGTGCACTGGTTTTCTCCTATGCAGGATTATCTGCTGGTTTTCTTGAGTCACTGCCACCACTTGAAGGTTCAAAAGTTTCCTTGTAGAGCTGCTCATGGGATTTTTCAGATTACCACATCTTAACTTTGTAGTGAAAAATGCGCTTATTCAGTAGCTGCCCTAAATGCAGCAGTCTGTAGTGTTTTGGGATGAATGGTGGTCTGAAAGCATGAAGAAATTACGATTTAAATTAGTGGTCTCTCCAACACATCAGTGTCTGGATAGAGAGATTTGTTCAGAACCCTTCAATTTCTCTAGTGTATATCATTATCTGTCGTCAGCTGCTTGGCCTGGCTTTAATCTCATAGCACTTGAACTATAAAATGCTTTAAGACATTTGCCAGCCAGTTGGCTATTGAGTGTAGACAAGATGGATTATTTTTTTTTTTGACATTTAATCATAATAGTACGCTCACATCTAAAACTGGCAACAGGTACAAAGTTTGGGAAGTGTCTGGAACGAGAAACATTTCCTTCCCATTCCTAGCCAAAAATATGTGTTTCTTAGACCGGATAATCAAGATTGTCTGTCCAGCCTCATGCTCTGATAGACACATGCTGCGATGAACCTTGGCAATGCAATATTCACTCTCCAGTGGCATTAGCAAAGCTAGGAAAGGTTGTCATTGCATCTGATCGGTGTAAATTAAGGTCCTCCTTAATGGAAGATATTCCAGTACACCTCATGGAGTCACTTCCATTTTCCTGGTCTCAACACCGGTGGGCTTTTGTTGTTTCAGTCTGTTTGGGGCCAGATGAATGTCTCATTGCTGTTCACTGTAAAGCAAAGATGACTGGCAAGAACAGGAATACAGGGTTTAAATAATTTATAGCTCCATGCATACATTTAAACAGAAACTAGAAGAAAAGTAACTAAGACAGACTCTTTCCGTTCTTGTTAAATCACCCTTGTAGCCTTAACTTTTCTGTAGCAGATGGAAGAACATAACCATAAATACATTTGCAGAAGATGCCGAAGTATTTGTGTGGCGTGGAACGCGAGTTCAGCAGCAACTTCCTTTCAACAAGAAACACAGATGAAATCTGTCTGGAAATGTTATATGTAGATGAAATTCCAAATACCACTTTAAATTCTAATTTTGCATGCAATAAAAACTCCCGATACCAGATGGAAGTAATAACCATGTTTTAGAATGAATGCCGTCTGAGGCTGCTGATCGCTTTTCAGCTGGCAGTGTCTCTGCCCTACAGAGGTAGCAGGTAAGCCCTGACACCTGACAGGTAAGCCTTCAGGATTTTGAAGAGCTCATCCAAGGCAACTGTGAGCCTCCCATTTCCCTCATGCAAAAGGTGGAGGTGGATACCCATTTTGTGTAAAAAAAAAAAAGATCTTAAGGGAAAAGCTTTGTTAAATGATATAGGAGGAAAATAATTAAATAGATCTGGATGACACTGCAAAAGAAAAGCGGCTTCCTCTCCTTTGAGAGAGTGCTGTGATTTCACGTCTCGGATGTGATGGGCTTTTGGCCCAAATATGAATTGCGCCTCTATCACAAACACTTGAAGTCCTTCTTGTGCTTACCAGATCCCCAGATGTTTCAAATGGTTTTAGGATCCACCAGGTATTTAAATAAGCAGGGTTGTCAGGGTGTGTAATGATAAGATGGAAAATGTCAGGGATGGGTGTGAGCGACATACTGAAAGCAATATTACCCCTCTTCTTTGGTCTGTCACCAGCGGTGGAAAAATGTAAATAGTGAGTCCATGGACTGGGATTTTCAGGGCTTGCAGAAACCTAATGGCTTGCACTGCAAATTAGAGAATTAAGGGGCAGGGGGAGCTAATACATGCGTGTCTAAGGCAAACAAACAAGTAAAGCCCCTTGTTTATAACCAGCGCTGCATCCTGCTTGCCTCTCCTGATCCATTTGTAGAGAAAATTGGCATCAGATCATTCAGGCTGATGGACTTGGAAAGGGGTAGGGGTGTTGAACTGCATCTGTGGCTGACAGCAGGCATCGCTGCCCTGTATTCACAGGCTGTCTCCCCATTCGCAGCCCTCTGCCCAAAACCTGTAGTTGATGTGTATTGCTTGGCCCAGGTCCCCCCATCCCCTGCTAGGCCAGAGGGCTGATAGAAATCACTGTGCTGAAGTGTGGTATCAGAGAGGGGACACTTGGCAGCAGGCTCATGGAGGCCGGGCAGCTGCTGTTCCTCACAATTCATCTCGTTCTTCCTCGTTGCAAATGCAGGCGCTCCTTTGGCTGTTCATGAAGGGCCGGCAGCCCAGGGTCCAGACGGCGTTGAACACTGCGTCTGCGACGGACTCACAAGCTGTGGAGAAGCAGAAGATCAGACAGGTAAGCAACAGGCACGCCGCGACATCTGAGGGCTGGGTGGAAGCACCCTAGCCTGAGCCCTGCACTGAGTTGGGTGGTGTTTG